GGACCAAAACATGAGCAGGCATGGTGTCCCACGGAACACATCACCGGTTTTGCATACGATATGTACATGTACAACCTCGCAATTACTCCATAGCTAACACTGTTGTATTGGTGTCGATTCGGTTCTTTTTTGGGGATTGAGGGAGAAAGGGTAAGGGCCGGAAATTCTAAACATGATTGGACCAATCCGGATTTTGTTATGACAATAGAGATTGACTCGAGCTAAGAGACAATAGATGTCGTAGATGGAACCGACCCGATTATAGAATATCGACATTGGAAATGAAAAGACGGAATAGACCGCCTTCTCGATTTCTTTCCCAATTTGTTAAGTGCGGCGAAAACCAAACTAAATCGGGATAGATATTGGGTATTCATGTAATCGTGTTGCGTGATTCTTTTTCTATACATCTCATATCTATCATCGTTAATATGGGTAATAATCACTTGCAAAAACAATAGAACTATCTATATCAACGGGGTGATAGATGTGGAATGCGTAGGAAGATAAGATGACACCAACATAACCCACATAAGTTTGTAGGTTGGTAAGATCAATTCTTCTTGACAACTTGAGACTCTTGCCAGCTAATTCCATCACAATAAACAATATCAAATAAATGGTCCCCCAAATTCCACAGAATCACATACATCACCCATTTATCTTCATTGATTGCGTGGTCTTTCCAAGCAAACTCATGCACTCTCCTCTCTCTTGTCAACATCAACCCTATCCCTAAACAAAATGTATTTTATGCGTCAATAATACGATTCCCACGACATGACGTAACCAAGTAATTGTATTATTTTGCATGATATGCACTTTAGTTAACTTTTTCGTTTATAAATTTGAAGCTCTTGCTTCTTTATTTATCGGTTTTCGTACGTGTTATTGTCGCGCGACATGACCGGCACGCAAATTACTTTTTTTCCCGTGGCGTAGAGAGCCTAAAAGGCTGTCTTTATCTCCATCTGTCCTTCCCGTGTGTACGAACTTCCATTGATGCGAAGCAAACCATTCATGGATGTGGCAAAGAAAGTTGTTGATAGTTATAACTGTCCAAGGTCAACCCATTTATCACTGTTGCATCAGACAATCTGTTTATTTGTGGCAAGACATAAGGTTTAATTTCGATCTTCGTTGGCAGGAAAGCGGTTGCAGTTGCATGTATGCCTTTAGTTCAGCCACATGCGTGGGGTATGCACGTACTCATGAATTGATTCAACATAATTCTTGCAGTGAGGCAGGACGAATGCAGGACATTAACTAGCAAAAAATTCTCTACTGCTCATGAAAAAGATGGCCCATGTCTTGCAGACACATTGATGTTGAATTTATGGAGTGTAAAGAGCGTTGGTTTTCGATTATGCGCGAATAACACATGAGTTTACGAGGAAATAAGAAGGTCTCAAACTCATTTTATGGTGTTTTCTACACCGGACAGCTGATTCATTACACTAGTTGGCAGTTAAGGTTCGATCCTTTGTCTATCCATCTTGCCCCATGAGGTAATTCATGAGCAGTGGCGCTGCTTCGATCCTAGCTTCAGGCGTTGAGAGTTCGAATCCTTTCTCATATCAAGACGCCGGTGTGCTAAGTCCAATCGGTCTCGATCATTTGAACAAGTGAAACCAGCTTGATTCGATAGGTGATATGCCTCGAACTCGTGTGCACCGGGAATATACAAGTAATGCTCGTCGTCTCCGGAAGTTGGAGCCCGCCCATGACAAGCAATCACATATATAAGCCAACCGTCGTCAACCTACTTCTGTTGCTCTCGGTTGTCGAGTCGTAGATGGAGATGTTTCGATGTCAGTGGCAATAGTCATGGATAGCTCACAATTGACGCATCGGTAGATAATCTCTGTTTTCCGGCATGACAGTACAAAACTCATTCGTCCACTCAGTTTTTCTCAGTGTTTTCGAATGGGAGTCCATGCCTAGTTTTTCTCAATATGTTAATGACATGGATAATCTAGTTCTTATAGAGTAGAACAGGAGCAGAAAGCAGACACCGGATCGATTGATAAAGAAGAAAAGAATAACATAATATCCAGTTTCTAGCCCGGAGAGCGAGCAAATCAGTCGTATGAACTGTCAAAATCTGCCATGGGAATGTTATGGTCTTGAGGACGCTTTTCTGCTTCACTCCTTTCCCGAAGCAGCATTCCATAAGTCGATCCGAGAAAGAATCAAAGTCATGTTGTGCGGCAGCTTGCTCGATCGACGTACAAAGAGATTGTATATTAGATGGCCCTTCCTAGGCGTAAAATCAAATCATGGACTTGAGAACGGTCGCAAGGTAGTTTACTTGCTTACTTTGTTAGAGTAAGGCCACACTGACCGAACAGATGATAAGGCTCAGAACTAATAGCAATATAATCTGATTAGTGGTATTTGTAGCAAATTAGCAAAACAGCCTCGTTCTTTAAAAGATCTATCCTCATGTCTGGTACTACATCATTCCCCTCTACAGAGTCTAGTGGGTTTGGCAGGGGCCAATGAAATGGCTCTTTTCATTGTTTGCGTCTTATCATTTTAAAGCCCAATAGAGATGGTAGGTTGACCCACCCAACAAGTCAACAATGTAGGCTTTGCTCATTGAATCCATTTAACAATATAACATCACCCCTTGGCAGAGAAAGGTTACGTGAAGTGAAAGATGCTTGACACTGCTTAGCATTGTCCATATATGAGCTCCCCCTACAAAGATTTACTCCTCATCTCCTAGTTATCCGAGGAAAATTAATCTAATTAACAATAACAAAGCTTGCCCTTGCAAGACATCGATCTAGGGGCTCAATGCCTTAAATTTGTCTTTCAATTTATTGGTGGACTAAATCGACCCATTTAATCACTATTGACCAAACTGTCCAATTTAAACGATCCATACCCGATCTGATCTGTATCCAACCCAAGTTCACAAAAGAATACATTTTTTGAATGTATTAGTCAAGTGAACATTGTTATCTCTCCGCCATCATCATCATCACTGTCAAGTTGGTGCTGGCGAAAATTTTAGGGATAAGCGCATTAAAAGTCCTAAAACTTGTCACAAAAGTGCAATCAAGTCCTAAAACTTTCAAAAAATGCAATCGAGTCCTAAAACTTGTTGCGAAAGTATAATTGAGTCCTAAAACTTTTAAAAAATGCAATCAAAAGAAGAACTTAATGGGATTATCTTGACAAGTTTAAGACTTGATTGCACTTTTTGAAAGTTTTAGAACTCAATTGCACTTTGTGACAAGTTTTATGACTTAATTGCACTTTTTGAAAGTTTTAGGACTCAATTGCACTTTGTGACAAGTTTTAGGACTTAATTGCACTTTTTGAAAGTTTTATGACTCAATTGCACTTTGATGACAAGTTTTAGGACTTTCAATGCACTTATCCCAAAATTTTAATATATTAGAAAAAAACAAAAGCAAATTTAGAAAGGATCTAACTTTTACACACACCCATCAAGACCCGCAGGTAGTTGTACTTTATTTTTTAGACCTACTTCAACATGTAATTGAGAATTTAGGTGATTCGTGTATTATGTGGCCCACTAACTAAACTTGAGTTAAAAAGTGGACTGTGGTCCTATTTTGCCACTTTTACTTTCAATTTGGATCATCAAGCAATTTTACATTATCGAAGCTATCATCTATATTGTATGTTGTACGATGGAATGAAATATAATAGAGAGGAATTGATTAAAATGGAACTTAAAATGGGGGATTTCAATCTTTTTGTTTCGAAATTTCAGCAATAGAATAGAATGGAGATTTTTTATTTTTATTTTTTTTGCTTGGTTGTAACGAAAAATAGCCGCATAGAAAGAAAGACAATTTCATCCATCGAAGTAGATACACGCATTACTCCACAGCTCGATCTAGCCCGTATTCGTACTCGTTCAATAATACATTTCTGGTATCTTTTTTCAGATTTTATCGTATTCTTTTTAAAATAACACTCTTTTACTTCCATTATTTTTTATTTCCTTAGAATTCCCACTATCCTTTGCGCAAAGGATCATGAGAACTTTCGATGGTATGTATTGCAAACAAAACAATTGCATGGGAGAGCTCGCACGCATGATATGTAAAGAATGTGTTGCATGAGCCATACTATACAACTCCACTTAAAGTAGTTACTTCATGATATGTTTACCTTAATGGGGGTCTTTTGACCCAAAGTTTACAATGAATGAATCAAATAAGGAAGGTAATCACTGAACAAATCAGCAAAGATCATTATTACAGCGCCATGCGAAATCCGATTACATAAAAGATGACATGATATCGTAATAATTGCACGATATCTACAGATTATCCCCCTCAGATATCATAATAATGTTGATATCACAATCTCATTTTGTGTGGCTTGTCCCTATATAAATAAGGTTGAAAGCATGGGGCTTTAGATCATAAGAGCTGCACATTACTCCCTGACCACATACTTCACAATGCTGCTTGTGCCTTTGTTTTTCTTTACACTAGCCTGGTCTCCTCCCACCCTCCTCTGTTTGCCCTACAGTCTAAAAGTGTGTTTTCTTCCCCCTACTTTTTAGTTTTCCTTTCAAAATTTGAAAATGAGTCGTATTTCAAAAAAATTATGAGCAATTACGCATTGCTATATATTTCAAATTCGGTGCAAGCATCTAGCTTGTGTACGGGATTCATATGCTTCTTCTAAACATGTGATCTCCCTCCACCTATAAATTTAAGCTTTTGAATTAAACATTCTAACATAATATCGAGTCAAGTTTATTGCACCTGTGCGGATCCCTATTCGTCAAATTCTATGTGTCTTGTTCCTAATCCCGATTACAAGTGAGAAGGGTGTTAAAATATCCCACATTGCTTATTTAACGAGTTTATATTTCTTCCCCCTGTAAGTTAGACTTACTAACACTATCAACCAACCAACTAGCCCCACCGAGAGTGTCGAATCTACCTATTCTCTTTCAGCCATGCAATGCAAAAACAGATTTTAAGCAAAGGAAGAGAGACGTATTAAACTCATAATTTATTTCACTAACCACCTTGTTGAGAACTTAGAGATCCTGGTTGGTATTTCTTCATCAGGGTCTGCGGACCCCTTACAAAGAAGCTGTTAGAGTCACTATTTACAGCACTGGAAGTCTTGGCCGAGTCACCCGTCGACCGACCCGCCATACGAAGAGCGGAGAAATGATCCCCCCAGATGTCGTATGTGAACTCGTTCCCGAATTCCGCCTTTTTCTCTGACTTGACGGTTTTTTCGCTGCACAGTTGGGAACCAGGAGCCCGGGCGTGCGGGGCAACAGTTGCCGTTGAAGCCAGATAATGAGAAGAGCAACGCAAGCTCGAGGTGGGTCTCCCGGTGCATGGGAACGTCGCAGAAGGCAATAGCACGGGCTTGCTAGCAGTTTTTGCTCGTGCTGGAGGCTGCTCCTGAGGTACAGCGAAGCTCTTCTTGTCCAAAACTGCGGGTTCCAAAAAGTTTTCCTTCTTAACAGATTCAGAGACTTGACGCCTCTCCTTAAATCGGTCTGGCCATTGAGAAAGGGGATTCCTGGTCTCAATACATTTTTCAGGATCAGGAGAGAGAGGCCACATTCTTCTGGGTGTAGGAACAGAAGAGGCAGGAGATAGGGGAGATGAAGGCGTCGAATTTCCGCTTTGGCTACTCGAAACTTCAAAATGGGCACTTAACCCTGCACCAGCACCCTTTCTCTTTCTTCGCCTTCTTCCTTTGTCTTTTCTAATGCGGACACTGAGGTTACCAGGCTGCGATACTTCCTCCGACACATTGCAGCTCTCAGCAGCACCGACCAAACTCAATGGCGAACATGATCGTTCCGTTTCTTTCCGAGCTTCTGCACGAATGACTGGTGTTCCCACATCCTGAGCATTTGACTTTGTATCTGGTGCACCAATCTCATGTTCTCGTTCACATCCACGGAGATTATCAGCATCTGCCATGGACTCCGGTAGTAAGGGTTTATCTGCAACTACAAAGTTACGAAAATGATCTTCCTCAGTGGACACAAAAGGTTTACTACTTTTTCTACTACAGTGAACTCTTGAGGATTTTCCTTTGCTCTGCGTCGTCGTAATGGAATCCTTTCCTCTCACACATTGCCTGTCCTGCGGACAAAAGACCGTCATCTGGGGGAAGATGCAAAATAATACCAACACAAACAGAACAGCAAGGAGGATCGCCTTAAATATTCTCTTCACCCGAATCAAGAACAGAGATTTCTTGCATGAACCAAGCATGGTCAAGGGAATATTGGCTTTCATGGGTATAACCACAATTCCAGTTGCCAAATCCAATTCAAGATCTCGGTGTTCCACAGGAGCCAAAAAATTGCTTCTGTAAGATATTAGAAGCTTCTTTGCTTCCCCAGGTTCCAGAGAAAAATTTGTACAATTGTGAACCAAGAATCCATCCAACTTACAGTCTGTCCCAGAAACCCTTATCCTTCTAACCTCCAATGGCAAATCTCCTGTATTCTTGGCATAAATTACCTTGGTTAAAGGCTGATGGCATGAATGTGCGGTATCATGCATTTGGGATGTCATCTCATCTTGATTGACAATGTTCAAAGAATCAGAAAAGTGAAGGTCAAATTCTAATTTTTCAACGGGTTCTGAATTTTCAAGCAAGACAAGAGAATACAACCCCCCGATTCCCCGCAAAGATAACCACTCCACACCAGAAAGATTGTTCCTAACCAGCACCGAACTCCTCCACTCACAACGATCCGATGGATGAAAGATCAAAGGCCCCAAAGATGCCTGTCCTTGAGGATGAACATAAGCTTCTGTTAGAGCACTCTCCGCTACAGAAAACCCACAGGCAAGTGGCTTGACAGATTCACCATGAACCAGGATGCTAGACGAAATAGGCTGCCCAAGTTGAATTGGGTTCTTGCACTCATCAATCATTTCTCCGGAGTTCAAGAGCAGTTGCATAATGACTGGTTGCTGACTTGGATTATGTACGGTGATCCACTTGGAGAGATGAGTCCCAACAGGAACAATGTGGAAGAAAACCTCATGGTCATCAAGCACCGACATCTCACAATTGGTACCTTGAGATTTCCAGTTTACTAGCACGAACTCATCTAATTCTGCTGTCTGCAGTGCCTTCAGAAATGAATTAGATGTAACAATTTAGTATTGGATATGAAGTTATGGAATAACCAATAATGTGCTATATTTGCAGAAAAAGCAGTGACAAATCATTACTAGGGAGGAAGTAGATTCTATTTCTTTGCAGAGAAAGTCATTTAGATAAAACAAGTTTTAATTGGCAGGCAGGACCTCGAGGACCCTTATCCCAGAGATAGACTTACAGGAAGGAACACAAAATTGATTCTTTTTTTTTTCCTTATGAACTGGAACAAGCAAATCAGTATATAAATACCAGGAACAACAGACAACGTAGATCTCTTAGGTTATCAAAAATACTAAATCGCGAAGCATAATCTATCCAGGTAAATCTGATGAGTAGCAGTCACAACCATCCAACTCTTGTTCATGGAGAAGCTGGAGAGAAATTTATAACAAGAAGATTGACTTGTTTTGACTTTATTTTTTGGTTCCATTAGATCATTAGTTAATAGGTAAAAGTTCAGGTACATAAAGATGGACACAAGCAGGAAAACAGTTGCATGCATTTCAGTCCTTCATCAAAGTTCCTTAAACAACAAAAATCATTATTAGCAACAATCACTTATGGTCGAGATCTCAACAAACCTATTAAGAACATGAGTCAGACAACACAGCAGGTCCTCTTTGTATTTGAGACCATGCAATAAATCTCCCATTTCACAAATGTGGAAATGGGACAATGGCAAGGTGGAGGACAAGTAGAAGTGAGTGGAAAAACTGTAAAGACCAATGTGTTTCACTAGAACTCATTTCCCATAAGCTTTCAAATAGTAGGAACATGAAAGATGACTTTAGATATTCCATAGTTCATGTGATTACTGCTTTATGAAAAGATGCGTTATACAAACCTTCAAACAGTTCATTAATTCTAAACGACTCCTGTGTTAAAGGACTAAGCAGTATTCTGTATCACTGAATACATTTCGTTAAGAAAATCAGCAACACTCTATCTATCCCTGTGTGTGTTTAGTAGATTCTGTACAAACCTCACGAGTGCTAGGGTGATGAGAGCCAAGGAGTTAAGTCTTTTAGAAGGTTTCCTATCTAAAGGTTCTCATCAGATTTGTTAGCAACTTATCTTAATTATTGAACCAGTTCATTTGTCTATCAAAAAATGATGGGCAATTTATGTATCAAAGTCCAAATATTTCATTGGTTCATAAGAGTAAGCCCAAATTAATCAAAGATACAGAGAACAAAGTTATATTGCTAAGATTAAATGGGATAAATCCATTGCAAGACATCAAAGAATGGCTGAAAATAGAAACAAAAATCATTATGATTTGTTGTTTGTTCCCGGAAAAGTTTTTTTTTTTTTGGTAAGGGTGTTCCCGGAAAAAGTTTATCCACTAAAGGACGTACAATCTCATTCTGAAAAAAATTTCCGATGAATTTTTACAGATTTATCTGGTAAAGAAAGCCTAGTAAGATACCAACATGAATGAAATATATAATTATCCGTGGCATTAGGACAAGAATGGAATTTTCGGCAAACTGTCTTCAAAAGACCAAGGAAATGTTTGAAGTCTAAACTACATGAAACGTGGAATAATGTCCCCTGAATCAATAACATCATAGAGAGCAAACTCTAAAAAATGCATACTTTTGCAATAATCACATTGATTATTGACCCAAAAGAAAACATTGATTATTGACAAGACAAATGCTAGAGATCAAGACCACACAGCTAAGCAAATAGCACAACTAAGAACTGTTGTACGACAGCTAGGAAACACAGACCAGATACATAATTCATGAATGAATAACTTTGCGCAGAATTTACTTACCTCAGCATTTGCTCGCAAGTGCTCCAATGATAATGTCCTTTTATTTCCAAAATCGGTATTATGGACCTGATGATTGTAACCAGAAAAGGAATCACGTCTCAAGCAGATATGTAGAATGTCCTGGCAGAGAATTTCAATCTGACTTTGTGAGTCATTCGTCTGTATAAGAAATTTACATTTTCTGTCTACATCGAACGTCCCATGAGTAAAATGAATTTCATCTGATACGTGATTGCAAGTAAGTACAGCAACTTGTGTAATGGTGCCGGGAAAGAGTACCAAGCCATCCATGTACTTGATCTGAAAAAGCTTTGAATTTGCAATTTCACTGATCTTAGTAACAGTAAGAACATGTGTAGCGCTATTCCTCAAAGATATGCTAACAAAACTTCCAGCGACATCAGATGATGTCACGCTCTCAAGAGAGATGGAAAGAAGACCAGCTATATCATGAGTTCCCGCCATATCATCTATCTCAGCTTCAATCGGTACCATCATTATGTCAGCTCTATCTTTTGAAGACCTTGTTAACTGCATGCAAAAGGCACCCAAAACTTTGCCAACAGAACCAAAAGATAAATCTATCTCTACAATGTCCTCGCTAATCCGAGGACCAATTTCCCAACTTTTATGAGATCTCATTGCTATCACTGGCAAATCAATAGGACTACTCTTCACAAGAAACCAATCTTTAACACTACGTGGGTCATCAGAGCTTGAGGGGTTTTCCTGCATACAAGTCGCTTCCATATGGAGGGAATTATTTCCCAGAGAAACTGATAACCATAGGGCTATTTCTTCCACGTAGAGGCTCTCATCGAAAGGGTTGAACAACGACAAGTTCTTTCTCCACCTTCCACCAGAAGATTCATCTACACCTAATATCGGCTGAATCCCATATGGAGACTTGACCGCAAAGCCTCTGGCCTGCACCAAAAAACCTCCAAAATTTGTTTGCACGATCAGATGAGCTGAGGACAAACCCTGCCATCTAGGCAAGAAGACAAAACAGAGAGAAGCTACTTCACCGGGTTCTAGTACTGCCTCAGTAAAGTTGCAAGGGAAGAACTGCACATCTGTGCTGAACGGCTGGTAGACATGTAAAATGCTGTCACTCCAGTTGTTTGACACTGTTAAGAAGGCTATGGAAGGACCATACAAGTACTTTTCTCCCCAGTCAAGTATAGGAGGGTATATTTCTATATTGGGTGACAAAAACCCATCAAAGGAACCTGACTTGTCCATCTCAGAATTCTTGCCCTGACTAAAACTGGCACTTTCTTGATTAAGCAGAGGTGCTCTACAAGAAGATATATCATGTTGATTAGCACCAGATGTCCGAATATATGAGAATTCATTGACATCCTTCCTAGAGTTCAAAGAACAAGAGATGGTCCTTCCGTTTGATAATATAGATATACCATAATCTGATGACCAGCTGGAGTTATTTTCCCACTGAGTAAATTCACCCGGCCCTACTCCAACGAACAATGGATCATCGGGCCTAATCAAAGAGTCTTCCAGAGTAGTATCCTTAGTGTTGGACTTCTCAGACAAAAAACCAGGCAGTGTTGAAGGAAAGCAGAAAAACTCTGAATTGCTACAGACATTGCCAAGGGTCATGCGAGCTTTTGAATTATCTGGAGCATAATCTGAATCAACCTCCCCGAGAATAACGCTCGGAATGCCGGCACCATAATTGCCATTAGAGGATCCGCATCCATTGTCTTCTTCCACAGATTCTTGCATCCCGACCTCAAAGCAATGCACACACGCAACAAAGGAGAAGAAGATGCATGATAGAAACCCAATGACAAATGATGCCTTGGTTAAGCGAAAAGGTCCCCTGGATAAAGCAACGCCACAGATAAATTCTAATAGAATCGCATTGGATCGGAAACTATACCAAAATAAAAAAGAACAGGCACCATGAAAATTCGAAACAAAGTAAGACAAGTGAAAAGAATAAGCAGGGGATACAAAAAAGCCAAATTGTCAGGAAGCCTACAATCCATAAATGAATATCAACATTTTCAAAGAAATAATCCAAAAACCCAGTCTGGCTGCCATAGAAGAATACCATGTTGGCTAAAAGCTGATCAAAGCTGAAAACTATTATCTATGACAGCACACATTTTTTATTTCTAATTGTAACTTTTTTTTCCCTGCCAAGCTGCTCAGCTCTAATTCAGAAACCGTCTCGTCAATATTAAACTCCATTGAAAATTAAAAAGACAAAAAATAAATAAAACAAGCTGATTAAATGTGATCACCATGCATTTAAAGAAAACCCAGCAGACGACCCTGAAACAGAACACTGAAAGATTTTTGAAAAAAACAATTTCAAGAAATGTTTACTTCCCAAAAGATCAATTAAATTAACTGTTCGCTAAAAATTACTTTTTTTCTCTGCCCTAAACCGGACCCATCATTAAAACACTTCGCGCAAAACGGACTAAACCACTGATTAAGCGGCTAATCAAACCCCTTTCCAAAAAAATCGGAAATGACGCTCGCCGGCGTCACGACCAGTTTTGGCTCGGACAATCAAACTGATGCGAAAACCTCCGAAATCGAAAACGCGACTCGTCCTAGTAACTAACCTTTACCTAACAAACGACAGAAACCGATGAGAAAGACAAGGAAAGTCAAAGAAAGGAAGGAAAGAAAAAGAAACCATTTCCCCTGTAAAAAACAAAAGCGGGCAGCCAAAAGAAAATCAGCTATTTTTGCGCACGCAGACATTCAACCTCGCATTCATGGGAACGATCGGCAAGCAGGCAAGCAACCCAATCAATCCCGACCGCCCGCCGGCCAAGAAACGGATAAGCAAAACCCAAAAAAGATCGGCCGAGTCGACGTCCCTTCACCATACAGCCCAAAGAACAACACAGAAAAGCGAGAACCGAGCATGCTGGAAGAAAACCCAGAAGGCAGACGGACACATACGCAAGCAAAAACCGATCTTATCCTCGCGCAAAGAAAGAAACGAAAAGAAACAGAGGGACAAAATGAAAAACAAGAACTCGCTATCGCCACACGACGGAGCTCGAGCGAGAAAGAAAGAGCGAGAGAGAGAGTCGTGGGGTGGCGGGCGAAGAAGGAAGGACGCGAGAGGGAGCTTCTTACCGGAGACGGGACATGGGGCGGCTGCTGACGGGTAGGGTTTCAGCGTCCATGAGCGGAGGAGTGGTCTTCCCCGTGTAGGGGTTTTGCGGATCCTTCTTATCCTTCCTCGGATTTCTGGAGGAGAAAAAAATAAAGAAAAGGGAGGAGGGAAATGCTTAGAACACAAGCAGGCACACCACCTGATAAAACAACAGCAGCATCAAAAGAAGCTGCTCCGATGATGAATGGCCTCCACGGGAGAGAGAGAGCGAGAGAGAGAGAGACAACATGACAACAGTAGAGAGAGAGAGAGAGAAGGAGAAAGGTAGAGAGAGAGTGGGGGAACGTTGAAAACAAAGAAGGAAAGACCTGCTTTGCCCCTCCACCGCGGAGGTATTCACGAGGCTGGGACCAGTCCTGGAGCTTTCCAAAGCTCCCTTTGGTTTTTGGTGGTTTTTGCTAGTAGCAGAGCAGCAGGCGCAAGGAGGAGGAAGAAGACGAGAGGATGGGGGTGGAGGGAAGGGTTTTTTGTGATGGTGATTGTGGATTTGTAAAGGTTCGCACTTTGACAAATGATGCATAAGAAGTTAGAATCTTTTTTCATGGAATAGTGCCCCCGGCAAACGTGTTTTAAGTTTCGATTTCCATGGTTTTCGGCTCCTGAATCTATAAATCTCCTGGACAAGGACCTGCGCTCGAATCCGACGCTTTTTTATTTTTCGCGATATGACCGAATATGTCCGAATTGTGAAACTGAGCCGATGCCGTTTCTTACCGCTTATTGCGACGTACCGAAAATGAACTCGCTTGTCTTTTCCCTCCGCGATGACATGTGCTTTCGGTGTTTCCAAAACACTGTCATCCTCATGATCGGTGCAATCAGTGCATTGGAAGCGAAAACATGACGAACACAGTATCAGGTCTCCTCGCGAGGTCTCCCGAGTCATGGACAAGCTTTAGCTCTGGCCAATTTTTTGTAATTATGGTACAACTTGGAGGGCAATCAACATGGCAATTTTGTCTTGCTAACCCTTTCCTTTATTATTTTTTCCACATAAGATTAAACTAGGCATATGTATATATATATATAGCCTTCTCCCATAGGCTAATGTTTTGGAAATATACTTTTGAGCAAACTATAAAGGGGGGGAGGGGCCATGGTTGATGGGCAAAATTGGAATTGCACGAGTACTGTCACCAAGGCGGGGCTTTGGGAGGAGAGGTTGGACTTTTGGTGCCACTTGCCTTTTTGCCTACCTTCGCTTTAAAAAAAAAATAATCAAATTTTCATTTTCATTTTCGTATTTTTTGGGTGTTTTTTTTTTTCGCTTTTTTCTTATTAATATTTTGATTTCGTTTTGACTTTAGCGAGGGAGACAGGCCCTTGTGGGCGCTTGGTCATTTGGTGCATGGGAAGCGCCGTTCAAGACGAAGGATGCCGCGATATCTGAGTCCCCCGCGAAATGTCCGTCCTGCCCCTCCCGCGCCCTCCGAATTGCCGCCCCACAGGAGGAGGGGCCCCGGCGCCCGGTGGAGCCCCCCGGGGCTCCGGCAGGTCTCGGCCCGGAAGCCGCTTTCCTCGCGCACCAAAGTTCGAGTTCTTCGCCGAATAAAGTTTCCCATCCTTTCGTTCCGCACGGCTCGTCCTTGGAGGGCTCGCGTCGCCTCGACCCCACGCGGCCCTCGTCGTCGCCGTCGCCGTCGATGGACCGAGGGTAATTTGGACAATCGAGCAGCGTGTGTGTTTTATATGTCAATTGTTGTTTAGCACCTTTGTCGCCGCGGCAAAAAGAAAGAACCCGTGTGTACTGACGCCATCCAACACCAAAGTTTTTTGTCTAAGTCGTTCTTTTCCATCATTTGCGAACCTAATAACGTGGTCTAGAACACTAGCGTTTAGCGGACTAACTGGAGGAGCATCTAACTAATTACTTCGTCGAGAAGAAATTAATACCCTTCGTTCGTAAGGAAAAAACATGCGAATTTCGCGACTCGTCCGTAAAAATTTAGGGGCCAACAATACGTCGAGCATGTCACGTCGGAACTCATGGGAATTGACAAAGCTATATGGTTGAAATAATCGACTGGCTACTTGGGAAAAGCACGACTAGGTTTTCCACCAACGGCCAAACTTTCAAAACGTGACATCGGAGTAACGCTGCCGGGAGGAAACTATTAGTCGCTAAGGCTCGACTTTGTTTCGAAAGTGGGCCCCGACTCGGAAACAATGTCTAAAAGTATTATGATAACCCAAATAGAAAGTAATAGGAGAAAGGGGGAAAAGACGGTGCGAGTGTCGAGATTACTGCACGGTACTTACTTTGATCGTGAAACCCGGGTTTCTCAGCTCTTAACAAGCGATCACTTTAGTGACTCAGATGACCAAATGCAGTGTTATTTTAATGGTAAAGACTCGCTCGAGTCACTTTAGCAATTTGAAAATAAAAAAATCATGTGTAGTAATAAAAGAGTCACAAAAGCATATGTTATAGCTTTCCTACTAATTTTTTTTTTGTTAGACTCAAAAAGTAAAGAGGTAGAGCAAACTCATGCGCACATTCACATCTCTCTATCTCTCCGAATAATTTCTGATAAGTTTGATTTAATATTTAAATATTCTATCGATTTCATTCAAAATCAGAACGATCAATTTGCTTTCCTCCGAGAAGAGGGAAGTGACCGAAAATTTTCTTCACCTCCTGTCCCTAACTTTCCAATCGCTTCTTCTCGGACTTTGCTCTGTTTTTGAGGTAGAAAACTAGAGCTCGAGCCCTAATGAAATCGGATTGCATTGCTAGGGCACATTCAAGAGCCAATTCAATCCCAATTTCCCAATTTGGGGGAAAACTAAATGCGTCCCCCGTTTGGTACATAACTTTAAATAACTAGTACGAAAACTTTATAAACGATCAATATAGTGCCCAAAAGCTTTGTGAAGGATTACTTTAGTGCAAATCATCTAAAGAGAAAACATTAGATGAACATTTCACTATTTCTTCAATAACAGAGAACAAATTCTTATATAAATTTCTGTAGATAAAAGGGCAATACTCACATAGAATGCAAGGATGAGGCTGGTTGGACTATAATGACAGTTGAAGTGATTTTTTTCCTAGTGCACTTTCTTAATGGAAAGGAGGTAGTTAGTCCCTTTATTTTTTACCTTTCTGTCTGTCCTTTACCTTTGGTCAATTTTACCTTTCCTCTTATTTGATTTACAATTAGAAAATATATAAGATCATAGGGGACTTTTATGGGAACCCAAAAGCGAGACGCCGGTCAGATTTTCCGGCAAGTTTGGTCGCGAGAGCCATTGATTGTTCTTTTATTATAAAAAAAATGGCGACACTTTGACAAGTTTTGATACCAATGAGCACCGTACATATCTTGGCACTAATACCATCCTAATTCCTGGAAAAAGTTTAGCCGAAATGTCAATACATATACCGTGTGTCGAACCGCTACGAAAGAGCCATTCAAAGGGCTGTAAAAAATTATAATGACGGCCGGACAATAATCATCAATTGCTCGCAACGTTTTTTCCGTTTCCTCGCCCGTCGCAATATCGGCAGAATCCAGTATCGAACCTAATTAATTTTCTTCAAATGGCCGATATGAAATTTCGACACGGCTTTTTATTCACTCATCTAAATAAAATCCCCCATGCACGTAATCTTTATAATTTCTAAAAATTAAATAAAAAATTTATAAAAGGGACAGTTAAGCACGTAAAAAGTATATTGTGACGTGTTGACCTTTTCCTCCTCCTAATTAAGGGTTAATACCACGAAAAATTCCTAAACTGGTACATTTGTGATAATTTTACCAAAAATTAATTTTTTAACCACAAAAAATCCCTAAACTGGTACACCTGTGATAATTTTACCCCAAACTACTATTTTGACCACTAAAAACCCAAAATTGGTACATTTGTGATAAATTTATCCTCTGTTGGTTTCCGTTAAATTAGATTAATATCACAAAAAATCACAAACCGGTATACCTATGGCAAACGAAGGGTAAAACATAAAACTGGCACATCAGTCAACTGCCGCGTGTCATTTAACAAAACAATTTGGCAGTAAAATTTAACGGAAACAAACTGAGGGTAAAATTATCACAGGTGCATCAGTTCGAGGTTTTTCGTGGTAAAAAATTTAGTTCGGGGCAAAATTGTCATGGGTATACCAGTTTAGGGTTTTTCGTGGTATTAACCCCCTAATTAATAAAACAAGACGAAATTATTATTATTACAAAAAAGAGGAGGGGGAAAAAAAAAAGGAAGGGAACATTATTACATCATTTCCGAAACCAGCGCGTGGGGGTGCCACGCGAGGACTCGGCGCGTGGGCCGGGGGTTTCCACGTCGGCCTATCGGGAGAATCTATGTGGAGTGGCGGCTTTCGATCATCGAGGCCGCCAAAGAGGATCTCGAAGAAACCGACGGCTCTGTCCCCGTCTCCCGGGATTCCCTTCCGCCTGCCGTGCGATCCGGGCCGTCCGTTCCGACCGCCCTGGGCCACGCGATCTTCGGCGCGTGGGGCCCCCTCCCCCACCCAAGTGGTTGGCCTTTCGGCCACTAGTTCATGCTTTTCCCGTTTCCTTTTTTTTTTAATCTTTTTAATTTTTTTTATTTTTCGGGGAAAAGCGAAGCCACCGTTCACGTGGTGCGGCGGAATTACCGTTTTGCCCCTCCCGCGAGAAGTCCCGGAAATTTGATGCTTTTTCTGTACGGTTGGTGGCGTGGCCCTTTCTTTTCGAATATTTTAATTTTTATTTCTTTCTAATTAATGTTGAGTGCCTCAATTTATTATAGATAAATATATATTTTTTAAAGTGCTATCGTCTTCGAGTAAACTTTTAAACATTTTTCGTCCTTGTCGGGAATTTGTGAAAGGGTTTAATACCACGAAAATTCCCAAACTGGTATATTTGTGATAAATTTATCATCCGTTAGTTTCCGTTAAATTGGATTAATACAAAAAAAATCACAAATTAGTACACATGTGACAAACGGAAGGTAAAATGTAAAACCTGTACATCAGTTAACTGTCGCGTGTCGTTTAACAAAGCAATTTAATAGTAAAATTTAACGGAAATAAATCGAGGGTAAATTTATCGCAGGTGTACTAGTTTGA